TCCTTCCATTACTATGACAGACATTGTTGTTGTTAAGTGCCATCAAGTTGGTTCTGGCTCATAGCGACCCTGGATAGGGTTTTCAAGGAGCGGCTGGTGAGTTTGAACTGCTGACCTTGCGGATAGCAGTCCAATGCTTATCCTACAGTGCCACACCAGAACTCCATTACAGATGTTGTTGTTGTTAGGTGCTGTCAAGTCGGTTCAGCTCATAGCAACCTTATGCACAACAGAAAGAAACACTGCCCGGTCCTGTGCCATTCTCATAATCATTGTTATGCTTGAGCCCATTGTTGCTGCCACTATGCCAACCCATCTGGTTGAGGGTCTTCCTCTTTTTAGCTGACCCTTCACATTACCAAACATGGCTGATCACTCCTAATAATATGTCAAAAGAATGAGAGACAAAGTCTGGCCATATTGGCTTCTAAAGAGCATTCTTGTTGTACTTCATCCAACACAGATTTGTTTGTTTTTCTGGCAGTCCATGGTTCTTGATGGCAGATGTTGTTGTGATTGTTAAGTGCCTTCAAGTCAGTTCTGACTTATAGCGACCCTGTATAGGGTATCAGAGGAGCAGCTGGTGGGTTTGAACTGCTGACCTTGTAGTTGAGGATTATTTGGGAAGCACACAAATAGGAATCTTGATCCCATGACCGCAGTTAGAATAGTATTACTGAGCTGCTTGGGCTCACTGTTTTAGGCTGCTTTCCATCAGGATGAATTCTCTCCCCTCAGATTCCCCCACCACCCCAGTGCATGACCTGAAAACAGTCTGGTGTCAGATCTCCATACCTGTTCACCCAATGTGCTAGGACTCAAGCAGTGAACACAGTAAACATAGATTGAGTACTTTCTGGAGACTTCTTTTTCTACTGCAAGTAGACTTCCTTTGGGCCCATTTCACCTTGCTTCAGGGATGCTGGACACTACCCCGCCCCCTCTCCAAGTACACAAATCATGAGTACCTTTCAAGGAGGCTCCCAGCCCACTCACAAGTGAACCCGGGCAAGGCTTCTGCTGCAGCCCTTCAAATCTGCGTTCCCTGTAGAATCTTGAGTATTGGATATGCATCAGCCCCTGAGGGGTAGACAGAACTATGCTACCCAAGCTGGATTCTGATCTCAGCTATGCAAAAGTAGAAAAACAGAAGAAAAAAAAATCCAATGCCATCCAATCGATTCTAAGACCTTGTAGGGTTTCTATACCGTAAACTGTGTAAACCTTTACAGAAGCAAACAGATTCATCGTTCTCCTCAGAATAGCTAATGTGTTTGAACTGCTGACTGCAGTTATCAGCCCAGCGCTTAATCAAATGTGCCACTAGAGTTTTTTTCAGCTATGGAGAAAATTTTGGTAAATTCACCAAAAGGATGCCTTTTCCTTGGGGTCAGATTGTCAGCCTTGCCCAGGCTGTATCCTGCTCTTCCCTTGTGCACCTTCTTCATTGCTTTGTACACCCCAGCATTAGCCTGCTTGGTTCTGACTGCGGGGGATTTTAGCTTCTGTGTATAAAACTCCTAAAACTTAAAGATGGAAGAGGAGATGTGTTCTAAGAATACCCATCTTTTGGCTGAACCTTGAACAGGGAGCTCCCAGGAAGATGGTTTACCTGAGGTAAGTGTAGGACAGATAGAGCCAAATTAAGATCAATGGACCAAAAAAAGTTCCTTATCTGCCTTGATTCAAAGAGGTGAGGAAGAGATCATGAGATCATGAGCTGCACAAACAAGGAGTATGCTGTTTTGAAAGTTCAAGTGTATTTACGTGGGAGGTGAAATGGGGCTGTGGAGAGGGAGAAGTGTGGTAATATTGAATCAACACAGCTGCTTCTGTATCCTGGGCTTAACACTTGTGGGTGTAAACTCCAATTTTGTTCTGAAATTTAGATTCTGGGCAAAATCAGGATTACACAGTTGCAGTCCATGGCAATGAGGAGCGGAACCTTGACTATTGCAACCTGTTGGACTGAAGTCCATTTTAAAAGGAGGTAAAGTGGTAGAATGTTTGCCTTCCATGTGGGAAATTTGAGTTCCAATCCTGGTCAATGCACCTCAATTGCAGACAAGCCCCTTCAGCCAGCAGAGGCAGGGAGCGGATTAGCTGACAACAGGCTACACTGGTCAAGGAGAACTTTGGTATTCTTCCGCTGCTCTACCCTGACCTCCTGCTCCTGCCCAAACCCCCATCTGTCTGCCTGCCTTCCTCTTCTACCCACTGCTTTAAATGTGGGTGGTGGTCGGCCCTTAATAGTCTTATAAACAGAGGCAGCCTTGAGCAAATTCGCCTCTCCAGTCTGGGGCTCCTTCCGGCCCCGCCCACCTCAGACTTAAAACTGCGGTGGGCCTGGAGGGGGGCGTCGGACCCATTCGTGTCGCTGTATCCCTCCGCCCCCCTTCCGTCACCCTCTCCGCCAGCGCTTCGTGCCGCACTCCTGCGCAGCCCCTGCCCACTTTGGTGCAGCATCGCGGGGGTGGCGGTGCCTCTTTGCCATCTGACCGCAGAAAGGCGGTGGGGAGCCCAGTGAGGACCTGTGAAAGGAGGGGGAAACCGACGACCTGGGTCCGGGCCTGTCAAGGCAAGTGGGGGTGAGGTGGGCGCCAGGGGAAGGGTCCTACCACCGCTGACCCTCTGTCCGCCTGTCCCTCCGGACCTGGCAGCCTGGCAAAGATGAAGGGATCCTGCCAAGCGGGTCCGTGAGACGTGCGCAGTGTCTAGAAAACTGACGATGAGGAGGCAAAGACCAGAGCGCACTGGGCCATCAGCAGAGGGGTGGTCCCAAAGGCGCCTAAGCTAATATGGAAGGAAACTGCGTTCCTGGCCAGTTTTCCAGCGCCCTTGTATGCCCCCCACCCAACCCCCTTTCCTGTGACTGGCGAAAGCTGTGCAAAAGAAATGGCGGAGGGGAGTGGGAGCTGGGGCGGGTGGGGGGTGTACCTGGGGGCCACTAGGAGAGGGACTGTCTGAACTGGGTGCGGAGCTAGCAAAGGGCGGGTCACCTTTGCTGCTCTGGTCCTGATTCTGGAAAGGAGCCTGTTGGGTCCAGCATCCTGGGGGCTCTCATCACCTCGGATGCTGCTCCTTTCCCATGAGTGACCACTGATGCCAGTGTCTTCTGTCTTCACGTTAGGTATTGCGGATTTCAGCAGGCAACAGTGTGCATCTGCAGAGGAAAGGATTGAGAAAAAGGAGCAGGAAAGTGGTCTGGATTTCTGGAGGTGTGTGGGGAAAGTGAAGGTGGGTTTTAGGCACTGACTGAAGACCCTGATTAGGGGTGGGATAAGCATCAACAGAGAAAGTTCTGGAACCTGGTGCACCATCCTAGTCTTCTCCTTGCTACCAGTATTCCAGACACTTCTCTCTCCCTCTCCCCACTTTCCTACTGTTTTTGAGACAGGAAAAGATGGGTTTGGTGGTGGGATGGTCAGATTACAGGTACCAATTCCCAGTTTGCTTTCCGGAATATGCAGAGGCCCTCCCTTAATGTATGCTCTGCAGGACAGTGGGGTGTTGTATCCTCATAATTTATGAAGGCAGTAAAGGGGAGAGAATAGGGTGAAAAGAAGGAATATGTTATCTCTGGAACCCTGAGATAGAGATTCTTAATGACAACTGGAGAATATTCCACCAACACGACCCTAAATATTGAATGGCAGATAATATTGGGATTCCTGTCCTTGATATTGGTCTGTCCACCAAGCACTCATTTGCTACCATTGTCTCCTGACTGTTAATTTTTCATGTTTGTCCATAGGCCTGCTTTAGAGTCGGTCAATTTTGCAAAGAAGAAAAGGAAGAGGATACTGACTCAAATATCTGGAGGTTGGTATATACTCCTGGGAATGGCTGGGAACTGGAGAATAAGAGCAGAGCATGCTCCAAGCAGATGCAAGGCCACCTCCACCTCTTCTCCTCTCTGCCAGATTTCCACACTGCCACAGAATCCATGTAAGGAGCCCTGGGTTATAAGTTGGACTGCTAACGTCAATGTTAACCGTTATAATCTACCAGCTGCTCCACAGGAGAAAAATGAGGCTTTCTGCTCCCATAAAGATTTACAGCCTTAGAAACCCTTTGAGTTGGAACTGACTAGAAGACACACAACCAACCAACCACAGTATCCATGTAGGGAATATTAGAAATATTGAGACTGTGACTGTGAGGAGCAGACGTAAGAACAGGAACCAGGAGTTGGGACACAATTGATAAATTAGAACCCTGAGTAGAAAAGGAGTTACTTGCATCAGGGACCAAAGTGCATACCTGTCTACCAAGCATTCAAGTTCCATTCTTTCCTGTTTGTTATCTTGTGCACAGGACTTTCAAAGGTCTGCTGCAGGGCTTCACACCACTGAAAGCAAGGAAAGGAGGGGGTGATTGCACCAGCCAGATCCGTGTAGGTTAGTATGGGAGTGGATAGAGTTCAGTGGTTAGGGTTCTGTCTGCGGGCTCCTCGGCCTCTCTCATTGACATTCCATTTTCTACCACCCCTTTACATGTTTTATAGCAGGCAAAGTAGCATGGCAGCTCCAAGGGTAAGGTATATGGGTGAAATGAGGGGACAGAGAGATTGTTTCTAATAACCTAGTTGTCCAATCAGGCATTCAAGATCTAGTCTCTATGTGCAAGTGTCTGCATGGGATGAGGCAATTGGAAGAGGCTCAAAGGCCCATTTCCTTTGTCTCTCCCTAGATCCACCTCCAGTGGTGACTCTGGTGGTGTTGGAGTTGCTGCTGATCACCACTCTCAACAAGTCTGCACCCACTCAGGAACGGTCCATCCTCCCTCGGCTTGGTTGTGCCTCCACTGCACTTGGTCTGTATTACTGGCAGGGGCTGTGCTTGTGAAGGAGGTTGATTGAGTGCTTCTTGACTTTCACACTTTCTTCTGTCTTTATAACCTGAATCACGCAAAGACCACAGTGTGAAGAGACCAAATCTGTGGTCAGGGCTAAGACTGGGTAGGGGAATATAGCGGCCTCCTGTGTAATTAGTAGGATCATGACTGGGGCTGAGATTGAGCCGTGCACCCAGGCCAAGTCTGAAAAGAAGGCTGGTGAAGAGGTTCAAGGTGGGGCTGAGAGGGAAACTGAAGTCCCTCTGGTGGTCAGACCCAAGGTTAGAACCCAAGTCCCGGTAATGACTGGAACTCAGCTCAAAACTGAGGCCAAAGCAATGACTGGAGCACGGCCCAAAGGTGAGGCCCAGGCAATGCCTGGGGCACGGCCCAAAACCGAGGCTGTGGCAATAACTGGGGCACGGCCCAAAACTGAGACCAAGACAATGGCTGGGGCACGCCCCAAAACTGAGACTATGGCAATAGCTGGGGCACGGCCCAAAACAGAAACTGTGGCAATGGCTGGGACAAGGCACAAAACTGAGACCGTGGCAGTGGCTGGGGCAAGACCCAAAACTGAAGCCCTGACAATGTCTGGAGCACGGCCTAAGACTGAGTGTAAGGCAATAGCTGGAGCAAGGCCCAAGGATGAAGTCCAGGCATGGGCCCAGACTGAGTTTGGGGCTGAGGCAACATCTGAGGCAGAGGAAGTCACCCAGTCAAATGTGGTGACCTGGCCACTGGTCAGTACTGAGTCTAGACCAGTCACCAAAACTAAGGTGTTATCTATCGACAGGGACCTGGTTGATGTGGAGGATGAGGTCTTATCTGGCACAAATGTACAGGCCAGAATCCAGCCCTGGTTTGGGTCAGGGGAGGAGAGTAATATGGGATCTTGGTGCTATCCCAGGCCAAGAGCCAAACAAGAGGCCTCAGATGAGTCTGGATTCTGGTCAGCAGATGAGACTTCTACAGTGTCATCTTTCTGGACAGGGGAAGAGACCAGTATCAGATCGTGGCCCAAGGATGAGGCCAATTCTAGGTCTAGGCACAGGGCTAAGCAACAGACCAATACCCGGTCCAGGCCCAGGATAAAGCAAGGACCCTGTATTGATTCTAGGTCTGGATCTGAGGATGAGGCTGGCAATCTTTACTGCCTCTGGGCTGGAGAAAATACCAATACCTTGTCTAGGTCTAGAGCCAGGGAAGAGGCAAATATCAGGTCCAAGCTCAGGTCAAAGAGAGAGGACTGTTTTGAATCTGGATCTGAAGAAGAATTTTATAAGGAGTCCTGGTTTTTGCCTGAAGAGGCCAATAGTAGATATAGGCCACGAGATAAGAAAGAGTGTAATACCAGTGCAAAGCCCAGGGCCCAGAAAGATGCTAATAATAGGAATAGGGTCAAACAAGAACCCAGATCTGAGGAGGAGGTCATTATTGGTTCTTGGTTCTGGGCAGAAAAAGAGGCTGGAGCTGGGGCTGGGGCGTGCTATGAATCCATGCCAGGGGCTGAGGAGGGAGCCATTTTTAGATCTTTGTTCTGGAATGATGATGAGGCAAGTGTGGGAGCAGAGGCCAGAGAAGAGACCAGGCCAGAATCTGAAGAAGAGGGCATATTTGGATCCTGGTTCTGGGACAGAGATGAGGCCTGTTTTGACCTAAATCCAAGCCCTGTGTACAAGGCCAGTTGCCGATTCAGTGGTTTGACTGAGCAGGAAGTTAATGTACCATCCAGGCCTCAAAGCTGGGAAGAGGTCACTGTTGAATTTAAGCCTGTTCCTTGTCATGGGCTTGGCTTCCCATCCATAAGCCCCTTTAGAATTCCTGAAGAAGGAATATCTGAACTTTCTGAAATGATTGAGGGAAACCTCAAGCAAAAGGAACTAAGCCCAGAAATGGAAGAACAAGAACCTATGTGTCAGCCCATTCAGAATGATCCTGACCCTAGGTTCCCATTTCAGTATGAGCCTACCTATTTGTCAGTCAAGGAAATTCGACAACATCTTAAGGCCAAGGAGAGTGCAAAGCCTGAGAGTTGGTTATGCAAGTGCATACAGTGTGAGCTTGGGATTGGTTCTGAAGATTTTGAAGATCTCCTTGTATTAATGGACAAAATTCAGGATCCTCTTATTCATGAGATAACTAAAATTGCAATGGGTACAAAAAGTGCTTCTCAATTTACCCGAGATTTCATTCGTGATTCAGGTGTTGTCTCACTTATTGAAACTTTGCTCAATTATCCCTCCTCTCGAGATAGGACAAGGTTTTTGGAAAACCTGATTCATATGGCTCCTCCTCAGCAAAATCAAAACATGATTGAAACATTCATATGTCAAGTTTGTGAGGAAACCCTTGCTCGTAACTTGGATTCCCCTGAGCAGTTGTCTGGCATAAAGATGGTTAGAGACCTCACTACTACTACTGACTATCACACACTGGTTACCAATTATATGACGGGATTTCTCACCTTATTAGCTACAGGCAATAGGAAAACAAGGTTTCACATTCTGAAAGTGTTACTGAATTTGTCTGAAAATCCTAATGTGGCAAAAAATGTATTCAGTAACAAAGCTCTATCAATATTTCTAGGTCTCTTTAACACAAAAGAGACACATGATAATATTAAAATTGTCATTAAAATGTTTCAGAATATCAGTAATAATATAAAAAAGGGAGTGATGATGCCCTCAATTGATGATGATTTCAGTCTTGAACCACTTGTTTCTGCTTTCCATGAACTTGAGGCATTAGCTCAGGAATTACAAGTCCAGATAAACAATCAAAAAGGTCGTAAGGGGGGGAAACGAAGTTAGTACAGTTAACCACCAGTCTTTGATCAGCCTTGTGTTCCCAAAGAATCCTGAGTAGTGCTTTGGTTTAAACAGTCTGGTTTGCTTTTGTAACTTACATTTCCAATGCTGATGTTAACTTCATACAACTCATGGATCATTTTGTGGATGCCAAATGAATATTTGAAGTGGAAACACGTTTGTTGATAGTTGTCTTGCTGTCCAGATTGAAGTATTTTTAAGTATTTAGCCTCCAATGAATGGAATCACCTAAGCTACTCTTTCCTTTGTCGTTTTAATATATGGTTCTCTATTCGAGTCTGGTCATGTTTTCAATAAAGTCCTGTCTTGAAGCCAACAGAAATGAGCCTTCTTCAGTTTAAAAATCAGTTGAAGAGGTATTGTACCACACAAAGAAACACAATTAATTAGTAATATGACAAACATGGAAAATCCCATTCTCCAAACAAGAAGAGATTACTGTTGGCTGCAGTACTTGGGAAAGGTTTCAAAGAAAAGGAACCCACTTAAATTGGTCACTGAAGGGTGGGGTAAGATAAGTCATTAGGTCATTCCTGTAAGTGGGCAGTGTGAAAAAAAGTACAGAATTAAATCTGCTATAGTAGCAAGGGTGTACCCAGTCTGCCTGGAATAGGTGAGAGAAGTTTTGTGAGGGATGCAGTTGCAATGAGGCCAGTTTTGAAGAGCTGAGTAAGTCAAATATACACATTTTACAATACAAAGTACAAGTGTTGATACAATTCCACCTAAAAAGTGATAGAGTAGGATGGCACACAGATTGAATGTAGTCAGAAATAGGGTTTCCTTGGTAATCCTAGTTTAAGAAAAGTGTTGGGGAACGCTGTGTAGCCACTGAAAATGATAATGTAGGATCTGTTTAATGACAAAACAATCTTGATGTTTTTAATACTTGGTGAAATAGACAATGTGATGTCATCTATCAAAAATTGGATCCCATTTTTAAAATGTGTATAAACACAATTTCTGTGTTTGAATGGTCTTGAGAAAAAAGAAACCTCAGATAGTCTTTGGTGAAATACAGAAATTAATAAGACAGGGCTTATGTTAAGTGCATTGAGTCCGTTCTGACTCATAGTGAGCCTGCATAGGATTTGCAAGGAGCGGCTGCTGGGTTTGAATCACTGGCCTTGTGGTTCAAACTGACTTTGCTATCCAGTGCTTACCCTACAGCGCCACACCATGACTCTATATAAATATACTACAAGTGTTAAAAATAATTCTTTCATGTAAAATCATATCGAGAAGTTGGATGGCAATGAGACTTCATAAAAATTGGCTTTTTAAACGGAATGTTTTTAAAGACAAAAAATGCCAGGCTTGCCAAGTTTACATTCATCTATTTCCTTACAAAACCCAGAAAAAAAACCCTTACCAGTTAAGAAAGGAAGGAGGAAAATCAGGTGACCACAGCAGACCAGCTATCAAGTGTGTTCATGATCTTTGTATCTTCCTCATGAGGCCTAATAAATAAGTACATTTCTGATGGTAGTCTAGTATTTAGGTGCAACATTCAGTTTTCATGATCGCACATGTCCATCCTTGAGTCAGAATGTTCACAGCTATATGGTTCCGGAGGACTACCTTCCTCATCTGGGTAGTTTTAGCAATTAATAGCTGCAAGTTTTTCTTGCTGTCATTCTGAGCCTGTGTAGTAAAATTGGTCAGAGCTTCAATATGTTTCATGATTTACACAGAGCCAAGGGAGAGAACAAAAAAAGTTTAAAAGTAATCATAGCAGTGGAAAACATTGCACTTGGCCCACATGGCTTTTTGTTGTTGTTAGTGCCATCAAGTTGGTTCTGACTCATAGTGACCCTTTATAGGGTTTCTGAGGAGCATCTGGTGAGTTCGAGCCACCCACCATGAAGTTCAAATCAATTTCGTGGCCCAGTGCTTATCCTACAGCGCCACCATGGGGTAAATTGGAGGTTTGTGCATAGATTCCCTTGTGGCTCCTACACGGGTGTGGTGCTTTAGGATAAACACTAGACTGCTAACCACAAGGTTGGAGGTTCAAACCCACCAACCGCTCCTCAGAAGCTCTACACAGGGTCAGTATGAATTGGAATAAACTCACACTTAACAACAAAAGCAGCAGTTCCTGAAGCATAGGACAACCTTAAGGTGCTGTGCCCTATCCAATTTTGTGACAAATAGGGCTATAAGTAGTGGCTGTTAGGAGTGAGGGATCTTCCTGCAGGTTTGCAACTATTGAACGCTCACCCTTTGGCAGTAGGACATAGGTGTCCAGTACACTATTTGAGAGAGGGACTTGAAGGAAGACAAGGAAACCCAAGGGGTTTTACTTGGCTCAAAACAGACAGAGGACAAGCTGTGAGCCCACTCTAAGAAAACATTGTTAGCTCCAAAAGGAGAAAAAAGTAGAGTAGGGCATATCTATGGGAAGACAGGTGTCTAGTAGGCACCAAGATGAGTAAATATCTCCTATCTACCCAACTTCTCTTTGGGTGGTGAAAACAGTTGCTGCCTTAGGCATTTTTGCCAGCTCAATGTGCCATATGTGCTGCCAGCACGGGGGTGGGAGGGCAGTTCACCTGAGGGGTTGTGAGTAAAATGAACCATTTTTCTCTGTGCCAGAAAAGGAGAAACACTTCTTTCCCTTGTGCTGTAGCCGTCCTCCCAGACCAGGTGAAGAATGACTGTTGAAGCTCTCCATGCAACAGGATGATGGGTTCCCATGTTAGGCTGGTCAGTTCCAGAGAGATGAAGTAAACAGTCTACCCTGGTGGGGGAATCCATGCCAAGCATCAATACATTGTTCGACTTCCTGGTGCCATATCGTGAGGCACTTGGAGGACCATGGTGCCTTGTATGGAAGCACTCAGTGCCTCAGTGCAGATACAGACAGCACTGTGATGTGACTCTTAGCACGGTTTGAGGGTCACTTGAATCACCCAGTCTAGCATATGTGGCTACAACCACCCTGTTGTTACTAGATGTCTCAGATCTATACTATTCACAACAGAATGAAGCATTGCCAGTTCTGTGCCACCCTCACAATTATTGTTATACACGAGCCCATTGTAGCAGCTCCTATGTCAGTCCATCTTGTTGGGTCTTAGGATGAATTCTCGAGAGAAGCAAAACCAGTGAAGGTTGCATATGTACATATAAAGATAAATTTATATTAAGAGAATGGTTCATACACCCATAGAGATGAGCAAATCCCAAGTCTGCAGATCAGATGGAGCAAGATTAGTACATAAGAGACAGTCAGGAAGATCAGATAGGTAAAATGTCAGACTTGATAACTCCGAGAATCAGCAGGCAATAAAGTAGGTCACTGCTTTCAGTCTAAAGAACCAGAGGTTGGACGATGAACCAGATGTAAGATCCAGATACAGTAGAAACCAAGCAACCTTTGCCAAAGTGTCTAATATATTGGAAGCAAGACACAGCCCTCAGGGAACGTCCTTTGAATTGATTGGTTGCTAACAGAAGCTCTCATCATAGAGTTGATTATATTATATTTATAATCAAAATATTGAATGACACAGAAAGCCTCAAAAGAAGATTGAAGGAATACACTGAACCAAAAAAAAAAAAAGTGGTTGATGTTCAACCATTTCAAGAGTTAGCATATGATCAAGAGCCAATGATAATGAAGGAAGAAGTCCAAGGTACACTGAAAGCATTGGCAAAGAATAAGGCACTTGGAATTGATGGAATACAAATTAAAATCTTTCAACAAACTGATGTGGCACTGGAAGCACCCATTCATCTATGACAAGAAATTTGGGAAACAATGACCTGGCCAACTGACTGGGCAAGATCCGTATTTGTGCCCATTCCAAAGAGAGGTGACCCAATGGAATGTGGAAATCATGGGGCAATTTTATTGATATCCCATGTGACTAAAGTTTTATTAAAGGTAATACAAAAGTGGCTGCAACTGTACATAGAGAACTTCCAGAGGTTCAGGCTGGATTCAGAAGAGGACGTGGAATGAGGAATATCATTGCTGAGGTTAGATGGATCTTGGTTGACAGTAGAGAATATCAGAAAGATGTTTACCTGTGCTTTATACCCAAAGGCTTTTGATTGTGTGGATCATGACAAGCTATGAACATTGCAAGGAATGAGTAGTCTGGAACATTTAATTGTGCTCATGAGGAACCTGTACATAGACCAAGAAGCAGTTGTTTGAACAGAACAAGGGAACACAAAATGGTTTAAAATTAAGAAAGGTATGCACCAGGGTTGTATTCTTTTACCATAATTACCCAATCTGTATGCTGAGCAAATAATCCAAGAAGTTGGATTATATGAAGTCAAAGGTGGCTTCAGGATTGCAGGAAGACTCGTTAACAACCTGAGATATGCTGACAATACAACCTTGCAGACTGAAAGCAAAGAGGACTTAAAATACTTCTGATTAACATCAAAGACCAAAATCTTTGGTATGGGTTACAACTCAATATAAAGAAAACAAAAATCCTCACCACTGGGCCAATAAAATAACATCAGATAAATGGAGAAAAGATTGAAGTTGTCAAAGGTGTCCATTTAAGGACTAAAGTACACCTAATCCAAGCCATGGTATTTTCAATAACCTCATGTACATGTGACAGCTGAACAGTAAATAAGGAAAACCATAGAAGAATGGATGCATTTGAGTTATGGTGTTGGAGGAGACTATTGAAAGTACCACAGACTGCTAAAAGAACAAACAAATCTGTGTTGAAGAAATACTTCTTGAATGCTTCCTGGAAGCCAAACTGACCCGACTTTGTCTCTCATACTTCAGATATATTATCAGGAGGGACCAGTCACTGGAAAAGACATCATGCTTGGTAAAGTGGAAGGTCCAAGAAAAAAAGGAAGACCCCCAATGAGATGGATTGGCACAGTGGCAGCAGCAATGGGCTCAAGTGCAGTAGCGATTCTGATGTTGGTACAGGCCTGTGCAGCATTTCATTCTGTTGTGCAGAGGGTTGCCATGAGTTGGTACAACATATCTC